AGGGTGTCCGGGGCCCTGGCGGGGTGACTACAGCAGAGAAGGAATGGACAACCCGGGTCTGGGGGAGCCGAGTGGAGCGATCAGCACCCACGGCCATCTGCATCAGGGAGCCTGGCAAGGACCTTGAGGACACGTGCAGGGCGGGGGCTCTTTCTCCATCTCACCCTTGAACCCAGAAGCCATTTGGGGAAGGAGACAGATTGGTAAAACAGCCCTAATAGGGAGCTGAACTTTCACTTTACTAAATATTTATTCCAAAGTGGCTGTTTTAACCCTGAAGAGACTAAGATTTCTTTAATTGGTCAGATTAAAGGTTCAAAGCAGTATCTTTGCTGCCCTCCACCCCTACCCAACAGGATGGAGACAAGGGGAAAGTTACAGATAATAAAATCAAGTGGCATAATTTTTGTATACTGGATGTGACCAAATACACTTGGACTCTGCTGGGGCGTCTGGCTGTCTCAGTCGGTGGGGCACGCAACTTTTCATCTCAGGGTGGTGACTTCGAGTTCCATGTTGGGCATAGAGATGACTTAATACTAAAAATCTTAAAAAAAAAAAAAATCAGACTCTGCTAATGCTGTAAGCTTTTTGGGAAAAAAAGCTCAGGAGAGACAGTGTAGTTCAGCGATTTGCTCTTGGACTGGCTGTGTGGCTTTGGGCAGGTGTTCAACCCCCCCCCCCATGTCTTAGGTTCCCCATCTGTAAAATGGAATAATAGTACTTACATCATGCAGTTGTTGTGAGGATAAATTAATAACTCATTTATTAATTTAACCCCATTAATATAAATGATAAAAATACGGAGCACTTAGAACAATGTGTGGCACATGCTCGACATTATGCAAGCATTTACTACTACATCATTCCGTAAGACTAGAACAAAGCCGGATGCCAATAGTTATAAAGTATCTCACAGAATGTCCTGGTGGTAGATGATCAACAGATGTTAGGAATTAGTTTACTCATAATACCCTAGTGTCATAGTTTGCACATATAAGAAGTGAAGACTTTGAACTTGAGAGAAAATACCCCAATGAGATATTGCTCATTGCCTGTCAACAGACAATCTCCCCCTCCCCCCCCCGCTTTCCCTGTGACTAGTACCCTAATTTTGCTCAAATATTAGAGAAAGCCCTTTAATCCTAGGGAAGGTAGGAATGCATCATGCTAATCTAAACCAGTCATGGTAATCCTGTTCCCCTTTGCTAGCTATGGTGCGGTCTGGATGTAAAGAACACTCTACCGGGGCGCCTGGGTGGCTTAGTCGGTTAAGCGTCCGACTTTCGCTTAGGTCATGATCTCGCGGTTGTGGGTTCGAGCCCCACGTCGGGCTCCGTGCTGACTGCCAGCTCAGAGCCTGGAGCCTGTTTCAGAGTCTGTGTCTCCCTCTCTCTCTGACCCTCCGCTGCTCATGCTGTCTCTCTCTCTCTCCTAGAAATAAATAAAAATAGAAAAAAATAAATAAATAAAAAAGAAAAAAAGAAAAAAAGAACACTCTACCAGCAGGCTTCTAGAAAAGGTTTTCTCCCCAGAGAGACTCTTGAGAAAGTGATTAGTCATATTTGCTTTTTGTACCAAGATTCGTCTGTGTGGAATTGTAGTGTCCATCTTGTGACCCTGAAGTAGCAAGCTGAAGGACCAAAGGCCAACATGCTTCGAACCACAGGGTGAAAACAGTCTGGGTGGGTCCCTGATTGGATTGCTGGGCCCCTGAACCAAATCTCGAATGACTTACTTCCAGAGCTTTCGTGATGTGTAAAAAAAATAAAATAACCTCTGATTTAATAGTTACGGTTTTTGTTAATTGCAGCTTAAAAGCATTTGCTACCTCCCATTCCATGTCATTTATTTCTGAGCTTGACTGATATGTGATACACCCGTGGTTCTCACATTAGTGTGCACAGAATCACCTGGAGGGCTTGCTGAGCCATGGATGGCCGAGCCCCATGCTGAGTGTCCAAATCGGCAGGTCAGGGATAGGGAATTCTGCATTTCTAGTAAGTTTCCAGGTGACGTCAATGTTGTTGGTCCAAGGATCCCACTTTGAGAACCACTGTGGTAGATAATCAAAGACATTTTTATTGAAATAAATTTACTGAAATTGCCGCAAATCTTCCTCCTGGCAGTGGAGAAAAGAAAGCTACTGAACAGCATTTCTTATGAACACAGATGCAAAAACTCGGAATATTTTAGCAAAATAAGTTTAACAATAGTGTAAAACGGATGATAGATCATGACCAAGTGGGGTTTATCCTGGGAATGCAAGGTTGGTTTCACATTTGAAACTCAATTGAATTTCAAACATTAAACCACATCAACTGGCTAAGAAAGAACGTGGAGACGCCTGGGGGGCTCAGTTGGTTAAGCGTCCAACTTTGGCTCAGGTCATGATCTCATAGTTGGTGGGTTCAAGCTCCATATCAGGCTCTGTGCTTACAGTGTGGAGCCTGCTTGGGATTCTCTCTCTCTCTCTCTCTCTCTCTCTCTCCCACCATCCCCCAACAAATAAAACTAAAAGAAAAAAAAAAAGAATCAAGTAGACAAAAAAAAACAAGAATAAAAAAAAAAGAGAAAATGTACCATTATCTCATAGATGCAGGAAAAGCATCTGAAAAAAACCGACCAACATTAATTCCTGATTTAAAAAAAAAAAACAAACCCACCACCTCCGCAATCTAGGAGTAGAAGGGAACTCGTTGGACTGAAGACAGCATCCATGGAGAGCTTGTCTATCTATACAAGCCCTCTCGGAGATCCCACCTGGCCTCAATTTTTAAATATTACTTAGATTCTGATGTTTCCTACATTTACATGACCCCAGACTTCTGAACTACAGACCGCCCCCCAACCTCATACTTTGACATGCCTCCCATGTCTAACAAGCCCAACATGCTCCAGACAGAACGGATTTCCCAACCCGCACTCTCCTGAGTTCTCCTGTGGTACGCGGCCTGAAACACCATGCGGTGTCCGGACATATAGTGAAACTGGGAGGGCCCCAAGGGGCCTGACTGCGACTTCCCCACCCCACTCTGCTCCCACGGATTGGGTCCCCTAACCAAACACACCTTAATTTTTTTTTTTAATGTTTTATTTATTTCTGAGAGAGAGAGAGAGAAAGAGACAGCATGAGCAGGGGAGGGGCAGAGAGAGAGAGACACACACACACAGAATCCAAAGCAGGCTCCAGGCTCTGAGCTGTCAGCACAGAGGCTGATGTGGGGCTCGAACTCACAAACTGTGAGATCATAACCTGAGCCGAAGTCGGATGCTTAACCGACTGGGGTGCCCAGGCGCCCCCAAACACCTTATTAAGAGGACCGAGGCGCTGCTGCCTGCGGAGTACCCGGTCTGAGTTCCCCGCTGCCCATCGGATTATTCAAATAAGCCAATCACAGCCGCCTGCAGGGACCAGGGGTCACTCCTTCCCCCGATACTGCGGAGCCTGCCTCCCACGGTCCCTGGTTGTTCACTGTTCCTGAGTGTGACCCCCTAGGCCCTCTGGTGTGAGCTACATCGTGCTGTCAATCTCATCTACTCCACGTCCGGTACTGTGTGTCTGGCTAGGTCCACAACCCTGTAACCCAGCGGTTAACTTCCCTCACAAATAGGGTGAATAGCAGGAAATTAAAGGAGCCCCATCTTGATAAATGATACCTTAATTAGCTACTCAGGGAAAAAAATTGGGGTATTTTGTTGATTTCACACACCCACAACCAAGCTATCATGATACGCTTATTATTTTATACTTAAACTGTACCCGGGACCTAATCCCTTCCCACCACTTCCACCACAATCTCTGCAGTCCCAACGGCCTCCCTGGCCCGGACCAGCACAGTAGTCCTAATGAGGCCTCTTCCCCTGCGCAGTCTGGTCACCCCAGGGCGAAGTGGGCTTTCTAGGACATAGGCTTGATCACATCATTCTTTTGCTCAAAATTTTCTAACGGCTTCCCGTGACACCCCTGGGATAAAAGCCAAAGCCCTTACCAGGGCCTTGAGTGCAAGCCCTTCCATTTCATGTACGAATCACCTCCCTTCCAACCGTAACACTCCAGCTGCCCTGAACAACTTGGTATTCCTTGAATCCATCAAGCATACCCCTGCCTCAGAGCCTTTGCACGTTTCTTCTGCCTGGAATAACCGTGCCCTGGAGAGCTACATGGCTTATGCCATTGATTGTACCTCATACCAGTTGATCTCTGCTCAAGGTCACCTCCCAGGGGCCTCCCTCAGTCTCCTTTTATAAAAAGGCCCAGCCTATCACCCTTACCTTGCTTTTTCTTCATCGTACCTCCTTAGCCCGACTAGAATATATCTGGTTACCTCCTGCCCCCACCCAATTAGAGTAGAAGATCCTTGAAGGCAGGGACCTTGTTTAAGGCTGCATCTCTGGTGCCTGGAACGTGCCTGGATCGCAGAAGGTGCTCAGTAGCCTGTGGACAAGAATGCCTGGTTTTCCAATATCCCCACCAAAAATTTGAAACCTTATACCTCTTTGGCAAGCTGACATGTGGGAAGTAGCACCTTTGTATTTCTTTACTAGGAGTGAGGTTGAGTATCCTATCATTGTTTGGCTTGGCCTTTGTGTTTCTTCTTTCCACAAAGCTATCTTTTCATATCCCGTGCTCAGTTTGTCTTTTTCCTGTTGCTTTGCAAGAGCTATTGATACATCAAAGAAATTAGTCCTGTGTCCATCATGTGCCGCAAATATATTTTCCTAGTGCGCCGTTTGCCTGTGACTTTGTAGTCTTTCCCTTTTGGCTTCTGGTTTTCAGGCATGCTCAGAAAGTGCCTGTACATCCCGAGATCATCAGGCCAACGATACTCGTTTCGCTCCAACACCGTAATAAATGTATATGTGAAAGATTATGATGGTTAGATCTTTGATCCATCTGGGATTTCCTCTGGAGCATAATGAATAAGGAAGTGATCTCGTTTGAAAAACAAATTTAGCTTTAAAATATAATGAATACAAATTTCTGGGTATTATATATAAAATTTATTTTAATTTTCTCAAGGAACTTCATAATTTAAAAAATACATTCAAACAGAGTTCACTTGTTTTCCAACACACATTTTTATAAGCGCATTTGCTACACGTGCATCTATGTAAGCATGTGTATGTAATAAAATTCTATTTTCCATGATTCTCTGGGCTATTATAATTGGACATTATTATCACTATTAAAATGTTTTCCCAAGAGACTTTCTATTTCTTTTTTCTCAGCATTTTCTCCCTTTCCTGGATCTTGAAGATTTCTTTTTCGTTTTACTGTATTTTGTTTTAAAAAGTCTCTTTTCAATTAAGCTCACTTCTTCATGGAGAGAAGAGGTCTTTATTCTTAGCAGGAAGGAGAAGAGGTTTATTATAAACTGATAACTCAGAGAAAAATTTGATTCTTCATAGGTCGTCACATGTTTACAATAGCTAGAAAGGGAAGAAAAAGGAAGAAGTTACCTTAAAATGGCCACTTGGAAATGTATGCATCTACCCCTGACCCCTCACCTCCACCCCCCATAACCAAGCAAATACATACGGTTAGGCTTCAGACAGCACTCTGAGTTGGAAGGAAACCTAGACACTGGCAAAGCTCCTTATCGTTAGAGCACAGCGTGTTGGCATCACCCCCAGCTACCACGAGGGTTGGGGGGGGACCCGCTGCCCCAGGGCCCAGGGGGACTGCTCTTCTGGCCATGCTCAAGGCAAACTACAGCCCACAGGAAGGGATTCTGGGCAGAGTTTTTTTAAAGTAAAATAAATAATCCCTAATCCCCACCCAAAATAAGACACCAGACTTGATAATACAGCCTGCAATCTTGTGCCTATTATAGAAACAAGAGTTTACAAAGCAATTTTGCTTATCTTAAAAGTAGTAGAACCTGAATCTGAGCAAATCTCCAGCTGCCACCAAATCTCTAATTACGGATCTCTAACTGCCTCTAACTCCATCTCTGACTATACCAAGGTGGAGGCAACCCAGGTACAGACGAATTAGTATCACGGGCTATAATCAGCAAAATGCAGACTACGGGAAATTATACAGGACAAAAGACCTGGATTCTTCAACAAGTCATTTTTGCCCTGCAAGGGATTAAAAAAAAAAAAAAAGGACATAAAGGAATTTACGAACTATACCTTAGCCACTTGCAGTGTGTATAGGCCTTATATATGGACTGAATTACATTAAAAATTTCATAGCAATTGGGACAATCTAAACACTGACTGCATGTTGGATAGCGTTAATAGGAATTACTATTAGTTTTTAAATGTCTGATTAATGTTATTATGGTTTTGTTTTTAGAAGTATTATGACATTTGAGATATGCTTCCAGATAATCTGGGGGTGGGGGTGAGAGTGAGTCGGCGTGGGTGAAGCAAGTCCAGTCATGTTAACAACAGTTAAAGCTGAATGACAGGTACAGGGAGGGGCATTCATTATAATAATCTATTTTTTAATATACGTGAACATTTCCATAACAAAAAGCTTACAAAACAAGTAAACAACATGTACAAGGTATGAACTTTTATGATTTATGTAACATATATGGTCCTAGGTTCCTGAGAGTTAATGTTTGCACCACAATAGTCTGCCCCCGTCAGTTATGACAATGGATAACGCTACTTGGTTCTCTGACCTGTAAAATAGGAAAAACTAAGAGTGGACCAAAGTATTGAATGAGAACATACCCTAAGCACTTAACCCTATGGCCGACATGTAAGAAGGGCTCAAAAATGTTCACTTCCACTATACTCCTTTAAAATTGATTTTTGTTTTCACTTAAAATGTTAAGACTACTTTAGTGATGTACAACAAAGGCAAACCCCTACCATGTTCACTAATAGGACATTTAGAAGCCTCAAGCGTTCATTGATTGGTTTAACAGAAATCAAATATAAGCCAGCTACACGAATTCTCACAAAATGGTGGCCTCTTGCTTTGCTTTTAAATTTCAGCTATTGTGAGAGAGATTCTTTCAGACAAACAGTTACAACCAAACGGGTAAAAATATGGTTTCTCTTACCCAGGGAGGCTCTAACTCTACACCAGAAAGGAAAGGTACACAAATTATTTGCTCCCTTAAGGGCTTTTATTTTTAACTTGAATCACTAGTAATACCTTATAAGGATTATATTCTTTATCACAAACTCAGAAAGCTATCCTGGAGTTGTAAGCCATAAAACCGAGTATAACATAAACGGTTTGTTATTGGCAAGTATTCTGCTGTGAGTAGAACATGGGCCAGCTGATGCTCCTGAGCTCTCACGTGGAAGAGAAATGAGTGTGCCAGATGGATGCTATAAGAATATGTTTACACAAACAATTTTATGTCAAGGGATAAGCAGAGGTTTACATTTAAAAGAGGGGGCAGCATAAAGGTACATTTGAACTTCCTCATGAGAAGTTCAAACGTGTGCCCCAAAAAAATAGTTTCTCAAGTCTGCATATGTACAAAAATAAACCCGAGAATACAAGTTAATGTTTTGGTGGTCTGCAATAGGTTCAAATTTGGTATATGACATGTTTGAGTATTGTTTATTGTGTTTTTTTTTTTACCATAGTTTAAAATACTAGTTAAAATAAAAACTTTTAAATTCAACTAAAATTTTGTGGGACCGAAAAAAAAATTGTGTGTGTGTGTGTACGTGTGTGCGTGGACATCCAAAGCCCCTCCGCTTCCTGGGGGTGGCGACCTGAACTGCCACGGCTGTTCCTCCTCCGGTGGAAGCGGGAGGAACCACCTGCTCCGCTCCGGGAGGTCAAGAGCAGACACCTGCTCAGCCAGCGCCTGCCGCACGTCTTCAGGCCGCGCTGACGGTCAGCAACGGGCCTACTTCCCGACGGGCCCTCGCGGAAACGGGAGGAGTACGAAGGGCATTTCGGCTCCTTAGACTGTTGGTTCTGCCTCAGATCAGAAGGATGAACAGCCTCTCGTCGAGAAGCGCCCTCTCGCCCTCCGCCGCGTAGTCCTCGAGGCCTGAGAGTGGGCACGGGCATCTTCCGTACAACACGTGCGTCGGTCTCAGACAGGCGTCCTCCCGTGCGACACAGCTCTCTATGCGGCTGAAGATCTGCTCTCTTCATCTTAACCATCTGGTGCGGACATCTTTTAAAACTGAAGGATACATCATTTGTTTTCTTGAACAGAGCACGTGCAGCACGATGTGTTTTAGCCTGTACAATTATATTATTACCAGTTGTCCATTTTTACCGTGCAAATACTAGAAAACACAGCCAAGAAAAACACACCCAACGAGAATGTGCGCAGCGTGTGGGTCACGCTCTGTGTTCAAACCGAGACCCCATCAGGCCTCTTTGGCTGCGGGGAGCGACTGGACTTGTGTCGTGAATGAACTCCGGCTGCTGTAACTTGAGTTCTGTCTGCTGCGGACTCTGATGCCGGCTCCTCTGCCGTTTGTCAACTGGATGTCATTTCTGTTTGTTGTCAAGATGATTATCAGCAGAGCACCTCCCAGGCTCCCTCCTATTTTGTTTCTTTTGATGATGATGAGTTTGGAATCAGACAAGTCGGCCTGACGGCAACGCACCTGAAAGCAGAGCGAGCAGGCTGTGGGTGAGGGGCTGCGGGGCTTCCTGAGAAAAGAGCATCTGCTGCAGTGGACCCCGCGGCGTTTGTACTGGTTCGCTGACGCCTTTTCTGCGTACTCTCTGGTTCTAGGCTATGGTCCAAATAGGCAAGGTGGACAGAATTTTGGCGCATAGAGTCATGATATCACGGATGCTTCGTCTACAGGTTATCAGCTGTTTCAACTCTGACGACACCAAGGTCTCTTTGTAACCGTCTTCTATCGCAGTGTGACATCTGTGAAGAACATCTAGAAATACACTGGCTGTGCCAAGGGAGAAGCGTGAAGGTATAAGGAGCGCCTCCGTCCCTCCCTCAGGACTGACTGCAGGCGGACGAGACAGAAGGGCGCCAGGTGACCACTTCCTAACTTACTGGTCTCACGCGGGTGCTGCTCACTGGCCAGGACTATGACCTTTTCTCTTCCTTTTGATGAAATCTGAAAAAGTCATTGCACTGACCACTGCAAAGGAATGTATCCCCTCAGACACGGAGCTGTGACCCCGGGGGCTGGATTCCAGCGTTTCCCTGTTGCTGCTTAGTGCCACCCCTCAGTCATTCTGGACTCCGCTCGGCTTTTCTTAAGTAGTCAATTTTAATACAGATGACTTCATTTTGTTATTTGCTATTGTATTTTCTACAGCTTACTTACCTTTGATACTCAACGTAGGAAGAGAAACTCTTGAACAGAAAATTAGTTTTATGGAAAACAATGACCATAGTTATCATTTATTGAGATTTACTAGGTGACGGACGCCAAACATCTCATTTAATCCTCATCTCTATTTTCCACTCATTCATTCAACAAATAATTGGTGAGCACCTACCACCTGCTAGGCCCCATTCTAGCCTCTGGGAGTTTCCAGTAATTCATTAAGACAGAGTCCCTGCACTCAAGGATCTTCTATTCTATTATGGTGTGAGGAGGCAGACAAATATGCAAAATGAACATATAATAGTTTATTCAATAGTGACAAAAACTATAAGAAATAAAAAATGGGCAAGGGGAACTGAGGGTGGTGAGGTGTGTGTGCGCATGCGCGTGTGTGTGTGGGGGGGGGGGAGAGTTGGTGCTAGTTTAGACAGGATGGCGAAGTGAAATTAGAGCAAAAACGTGACAGAAGTGAGCCCTTGAGGGTACGTGGAGGGAGAACAATCCAGGCTGGAGGCACAACAGGTGCAAAGGCCTGTGTGAGGCGTGTGCTTGGCAAGCGCCACAAGCGGCGAGGAGGCTAGCGCGGGCAGGGCAGTGAACTCGGGGAAAGGGAGGGAGGGGGAGGGCCAGAGGGCTCTGCCGGGTCTTCGGACTTTACTCTGAATGAGACAGGAGCCCTGGAGGTTTTGAGAAGATGAAGGAGATCAGTATTACACACTGTCTGTGCCCTGGGGAAAACAAAGTTATGAGCCCATCCCTAACCCATGCAAATGCTGCTTTGACCCCTGGGACACAGGGCCGTGGAGGGGCGAGCCGGCAGCCCAGCGGGGGACAGCCAGCCAGCGGCATGAGCACAGCCTCGTGGCGCCTGGGAGGCTGCCTGACAGACGGCGTCTGGGTATAAAGACTGAGATCAGTAGAAGATGAACTTGGTGTAAACATATATAAAGTCACCATGAAAAAAGTCTTTATCTTCTAAAACTCTTCTCAGCTTTACTGAGATATGATCGACATGACTTCTGTTAAGTTTAAAGCATGCAACGTGTGCATCGTGAAAGGATGATCGCAGTAAGGGGAGCAAACACCGCCATCCCTAAAACTCTGAAACAAGACCCAACGCATTCAGGCCAATTTTCGTGATTGTAAGCCCAACATCTTCTAATTCCAACAAATAACCAATCTGGTCCTCACGACAGCTCTAATTTTATGTGACTTTTTTTTTTTTTAATTAGCAAAGAATACTACTTCACGCCAAACCAGAGATTGCATGATTTTTTCTTTAATGCTTTGATTTCTAAAAGCATCACCCACCTTCTACAGAATTTCTGTGTGCTCAGCCAGTAGAGTGAGTTCTTGGTGGTCAATGAAGGGCCTTTCTTCTTCAGGACCCCCTGGAGGCTATGCCCATGGAAACAGGTTCCAGCAGTGTCTTCTTCAGCCCAGTTGAACTGAAAACTTGAAGGCCTTTTTCTCTCAACAGTTGGTTTTGAATCAACCAATGTGCTAAACTGTTTTTGTAGATCCACCACCATTTCTGGAAATGGAGGAAAAAAGAAAAGAAATAAAACGAAAACTTAACGTTAAATCATAGGTGACGCCTGTAGTTTACTTGTTAGTAATGTACTAATGTCAGTTTCTGAGTTTTGATAAACACACCATGATATTGAAAGGGGAAAACAGTAAGAGAAACTGAGACTGGGTGAGGGACATTGGGGAACTACTTAAAAAAGATTAAAATGGTAAATTTTATGTTATGTAGTTTTACCACAATTAGAAAAAAAAAAAGAGTGAACAAGAAAACCTAAAGGCAATTCTCCAAACCAAGAGTTGTGAACATCACAGAAGGATGGGATTTCAGATTCTGGTGGGAACTTAAGTTCTGTTTTAAAAAATGCAATGTTCCTGAAATAGATTCCCATGGAGATTTCTTGCAGACGATGTTTCTTTAGATGTGCATCAAAACGCTTGTTGAAGAAGTAAAAAAAAATTCCTATGCACTTACTTTTTTTTTTTTAAGTTTTTTAAAGTTTATTTATTTATGCAATCTCTACACCCAAAGTGGGGCTCAAACTCATGACCCTGAAATCAAGAGTAGCACACTCTTCTGACTGAGTCAGCCGGGCACCCCTCGGCACTCCCTTTCCAAGTGAAGATACTCAGCTTTTCTACAAGGACGGTGCTACGGGGCAGTAAGAGAAGCTGCAACTCACCTCTTCTTTTATACACCACCGCTCTGTCGCTGGAGGAGTGGTAGAGTGGCTTCTCGCTTTTCCACAGGTACCTGTACAGCACAGAAGAATGCGTGGGGCACGACAGAGGAGAAATGGACCTAAACACGGTTCAGAGACGTTTCTCTGAAGCACTGACTGAAATCCCTGCTGGTCAGCGTCATAGCTCTGCCTTGGAATGACCTACTGACACGGGTCTGTGGAGCTTACGTCACCGACGTAAGCATGTAGCACTGAAGGTGACAGCAAGCCAACAGAATGACGGTCTCATCCCCAAAGTCTCCCGGGTGTCAGAAGGTTCTGAAACAGCTGTTACACAAAAATGTAGAAATGGTTTCCTTCACCATAAAATTCTCTTGCTGTCGGTTCTCACAGAGTGAAACCACCTGAGAAACGACGGTTCCTCCTGCCTTTGCCCGGCCACCCTTTTGCTGAGGATTAAATCGGAGGCACTCCTGACTCTGGCAATCACACAAAGTGAAGAGTCAACACCAGGCTTCTGATGTAGGGATGCAATCGATGTTAATAAGTGACGCTTTTCCTGAAAATTATGCATGAACTCAATTTTAGTGAACCACACCACACTTAAAATAGATCAGAGTGCTTGTCATTGAACCTTACGGTAAATAAATCTGTGATTCTTTCAAGTATCTTTTTTATTGTTTATTTTCTTAAATAATACGTGTAACAATGTCCTCGGGGGAAAAATAATAAAGAAGTTCCCTAAATGTTTTAATCCCAATCAGTGGATAAACCGGCTATTAAAAATTCTTTGTGGGGATGCCTGGGTGGCTCAGCCAGTTAAGCGTCCAACTTCAGCTCAGGTCATGATCTCACAGCTCGTGAGGTCAAGCCCCACATCAGGCTCTGTGCTGACAGCTCAGAGCCTGAAGCCTGCTTTCTGCTTCAGATTCTGTGTCTCGCTCTCTCTCTCTACCCCTCTCCCACATGCGTGTTCTCTCTCTTTCAAAAATAAACAAACATCAAAAAAATAAAAAGTTCCTTGTGAATACCTAATCTAGATAGATTTCCTTATGCATTTATAATAAACGTCTATACAGGCGGCAATTATGCTATCATCAAGAGGCATTACTTCCTTGGGGTCATGCGCCTAGAAAATGGAAAGCCTTCTAAAATAACATTTTAACTGTCTAGACACTCCTTGAAATTTGTACTTTACTTTGCCTCCCTCTTCCCCAAGCTATAAAAGCTACAAAAAAACAGAGGCATGTCACGAAGTCCTAATGTTTTCTACGGGGATCTGTAGGCTTCCCTCCAATCTTCCCATTTTATTTCCCAACTATTAAAAACTAAGGTACAATTTACAAACAACCTCCCACTGCTCCGCGTACAGTTCTGCTGGCTCAAACACACACAGTTGTGTAACGACCGCCATGTACACAGAGCAGGCCCGTCAATCCAAAGTTCCTCATGCCTCTTCACTGACAATCCCTCTCCATGCTCCCACGTCCCTGATCTCAGGCCACTGCTGATGCTTTTCCATCTCTCAAGTTTAGCCTTTCCCAGAATTCCCAGAATGCCCTATAAAGGGACTCATACCACACGTAACCTCTTGAGACTCTCATTCAGCATAATGCATTTCAGTCATTCATATTGTGGATGCATCTGAAGTTTGTTCCTTTCACTTCTGAACAGTATCTTATTGTACAGACATACTCCACTTGGTTTATCCATTTACCAGTTGAAGGGCATCTGGGTTATTGCCACTTTTTGGCCATTGTGAATGGAGCTGGTACAAACATTCGAGTGGTGATTTTTACGTGAAGTCGTCATCTCACTCGGGTAAACATGTAAAAGTGAAAACTACTACATAGTGTAACTAATGCTTAAATGTATGTTTAACTTTATAAGAAACTGTCAAACTTCCAAAATGGCTGTACTATTTTGAATTCCCACATTTGGTATGGTCAGTTTTTTGTTCATTTCACTTTGTTTTTGGCCGTTCTAACTAGTGTAATGATATCTTGTTGTGGTTTTAATTTGCATTTCCCTATTAAGTAATGATACTGAGCATCATTTCATACATCTTTTTAAAAATTTTTAAAAGAAGTTAAGTTGCTTCCTTTTTAAAAAATGTTTATTTACTTTTGAGCGCGTGTGCATGTGAGAGACCTCGTGTGCGCGCACAGGGGAAAGGGGGAGAGAGGGAGACAGAGAATCCCTAGCAGGCTCTTTGCTCTCAGGGCAGAGCCCAACACAGAGCTCAAATTCACAAACCATGAGATCATGACCTGAGCCAAAAATCAAGAACTGGATGCTTAAGTGATTGAGCCACCCAGCAGCCCCATACATATTCGTTAGTGAAGTATCTGGTGAAGTTCAGATCTTTTGTCCATTTAAAAAACTGTGGTTTTCTGTTTCTTATTGTATGAGAATGCTTTATATATTCTAGATACAAATCTTTTATCAGATGCATGACATGCACATATTTTCTCCCACTGTATGGGCCTCTTGTTCTCTTAACAGTGTCTTTTGAGGAGCAGTTATTCTTTCTTCTGATGAAGCCCAATTTATAATTTTTTCCTTTTGTGGATCATCCTTCTGGTATCATATCTACGAAATTTTGCCTCACCCAAAAGGCTGCAAAGATTTTCTGCACATGCTTTTAAATCTTCATAACAACTGGAAGTCAAAACAGCCTTAACTTAAGCTGTTATTAGGTTTTCAACTACTGTTACCAGTGTTTTTCATAATGTCATACACAGTGACCTATACTCAGGTACAGCAGATACTTTAATAACGTTCATCTGACAACATGGAAGATGATGTTCACAATAACGGGAGAAAAAATTACAAATCTGTGTCAACAACAGGGGTGGGGTGGGGTGAGACACACAGGTCACAGACTGCACACACGGGCTGTGCGCCCAAGCACTCGTCAGTAGGGATTTACAGGTGGTATCTCACTTAGCTCAAAGCACCCACTCGATGAAGGATTTTGGTAATGGATCCACTGGACAATCTCTTTCCTGGGCCCTGTTCTCCCTGGAAGATGCCATTCTGAAAATAGGCATTTTCTCTTTGGTCATTAAATTCTCCCCTAAAGTAGCTAAAAGCCAGTAAGTCTTTGATGTGCAATTGAACACTGAAGTATCAATTTGGGCTCTAACAGCTCCGTCCGAAGTGTAAGCTGGTGCCTGGTTTGAGCTAATAAATGCCTAGTTACCACTGAGCCGCCTGCGTGGCATGGCCCCTGAACACCTAGCCTCTCAGGGTCAGTCAGGACAACCCCTGCTGGCACCATAAACAGGAAGGCCCAACGTCTGGTTCTCCAAGATAACCTGAGACAACGGGGCCAACTTCTGTTCCTGCTGTTACTCTTGTGCCCACGGAGCCCCAGCGACTGGGGAGACCTTCCTTCTCTGACAAGGAAGAGGAAGGACCAGGCTCCTGGGTCCCCACAGGCTGTCAGAAGGAGTTCATGCCCCACCTCTTCTCTTCCATCACTGTGTGTCAAACCTGAAGAGTGAGGCACGGCTCTGCCTCCCCCCTTTTTGGCAAGGATCCTCTTCCCCATGGTGCTTTATTCATCTCCGTGAGTGTGTTTCTCTATTTAAAAGCTCTCTTAAATACAGAGGAAAAATAATCCAATTCTACCTGGGAAAACTGAAATTCAGTTCTTGAAGCACACAGCAGGCATTATTATCTGTATTTCACTGATGAGGAACCTGGAGCTGAATGAATTCTCATGTCACCTAAATTGAGGAGCCTTGATTTTTCTCAAAGTATATAAAATTAGTTCATCAAATAGGGTTATTATAAATTTACATAAAATACAGACATTAATTTTTTTATTCAAAGTCTTGTAAAGACTGAAAGTTCTAAGAATCGATATAAAACTCTTCAAACTAGAGATCAATAGAAATGTACTCTATGTTATATAAAATATAATGTCTATGAAAATTTACAAGTGAACTAAATTTCAGTGCACTGAGGCTAAAATCTTAAGTAACTTGCCCCTGGCCGCACAACTAGTCTGTATGCAATCAGGATTCAAACCCAGCACTGTCTGTCTCTACAGCTATGCTCTTTCCACTCTATCACAATGAACCGACATCAGAAAGAGAGTTCAAAGTCAAATGGTGAGTCTGACTGAATTAAATATCTTCTCTTTCAGCTTTCTTCTGTTTTGCTTTTTATAGGGATCTTTATTTGGGGGGAACATTCTCATTGCTTGTGTCAGGCTGATATTTGTAATCTTTGTAATATTGGAAAGGAGATGAAAAATGTTCAACTTTGAGAAAGGGGAAGAAGGAGGAATATTAGGAATGGAGTTGAGACTCACACAAATTATAAAAAATTAGTAATTAAGTACGCTGTGGTGCTCTGGATTGGGTCCCGGGTTAGAAATAGGACATTAATGGAAACACTGGGGAAATCCAAATAAAATCTGGAGTTTAGTGAATAGTAACACAAAAAAACATAGTTGATTAGAATATAGGGGCTAGTATTTCTAGAAAAAATGTCATAGTGCTGAGGAGTCTAACTGTTGAAACTTCAGCTTTCAAACATAAGGCAACAGATTTGGAAATCAAGTAGGTAAATCTAAAACTAGAAAAGATAACATACTTTGCCCTGGCTTCGTCCCATTTTTGTTTTTTCTCATCAATAGATTTCTTCATAACTTGGTACCATTTTCTGAAATCAAACCATGGCTTATCTGAAAAAAAATGAAATCCATGATTAGTAACCAAATGAGTCACATTATAACCACACACCTTGTCCATTTGAGTCTTCATTCATTAACACAAATAAACATCATGGAGTCAACATTTTGGGAATTAAGGAGTCACTATCTCGGTACTCCAATGTGATTCCTGAGCAATCGACCCTTCGCTTAGTTCCTACCTATATTGTGGCCCTAACTAGATTACACTAAAACCATCTTTTTATTTGTTTATTTCTCCTTGATTTGACTGTCACCTCCTTGAGATGGAGAGGACATGTTTTGGTTGTCACTACACAATCACACCCCTTCCTCCCGACCCAACACACAGCACAGTGTCTGGCATGTGGGGATGCTCCCACATGCCTGAGAATACTTTTGAATTAGGACAAATGATTGATAAACTGTATTAGTTGAATCCAGACTTCCCGTTTCATCAGTTCTTAATCCTGTTCTTCCCAATCTGAATCCAAATCCAGAGAATCTAGAGATAAGTAAGAAAGGGGATTGTATTGGAGAGCTGGGGTGGGTGTGTGCTCAAGATGTCAAGGTGAGAGAGACCACAGAATTGAATGTAGTCAAAGATGAAGATTCACTCCTCACTCTTTTACTCAATCCACATGGGGAGATGCAATGATTTCGGAGGAAAAAAAAATAAAATCAAAGGTAAATCAGAAAAGAGGATTACAGAGTGAGGGAGTCAGAAGAAAGGAAGTCTGGCAAAAGGAAAATGGCCGAGTGAAAGATTGATTTTTTTTTAAAGTTAGTTTATTAGTTTATTTATTTATCTTAAGTAATCTCTATACCCAACATGGAGCTTGAACTCACGACTTTGAGATCAAGAGTTGGATGCTCTTCTGACTGAGCCATCCCAGGTGCCCCAAGGCTGAACTTTTTACATATTTTCTAATAAATACAGTCTCCTTCGATTGTACCTAAGAATCTTTCCAGATGGTCAATATCATCACTGAATTCAATATGGCCTCATAGACCATACAGGTGGACAGGAACTACCAAAATAGCTATAAGGACAGGGGAAAAACTATAGTGATTAATACAACACAAAGTTCTGTGAACTTAAGTAAGTCACAACTTCTTTAAACCTCAAGTTCCTCATCAATAACGTGGGGAGGCAGGGGACGGTGGACAGCGGGGGAGCAGAGAGAGTGGGGACCACGACACTCGCCCTGCTGACAACATGGATTCATCTTGAGCATCGCAGGGGAGATGACCTGTCAAAGCGCTCTGTTTACACTAAATGTCTACATAGTTGATGATGGCCCTTTAGCACGACAGGGACATTAGAAGACATTTTGTTCAACCTTCCACTCTGGGTTGAAGCTGACATGAAGCAATGTACAGACAGAAGTATTCTGCACATATTCTCGAAAGAACTCACAAACTGACTCCTACCATTAAATCCAAGCTCCTAAAACCAATGTATGTGCAATCTTGGGAAAAAAAAAAAAAGTCAAACTCTTAGAAACATAGAGTAGAAGAGTAGTTTCCAGGGGCTGGGGTGGGATAGCAACAGGTTGGTAAAAGGGTACAAAGTTTTGGCTCTAAGATAAATAAGATCTGAAAATCTAATGTAAAACATGGTGACCGTGGTTGATAACACTGTATTATATCATGGAAATCTGCTAAGGGAATAGGACTTACATGTTCTTTCACACACACACACACACACACACACACAAATGTGACATGATACATGTGTTAATTTAGCAGATGAGAGAATCCTTTCACAGTGCAAACATATATCAAATAACCACGATACACACTTTAAATATCTTACAATTTTATATGTTAATTATAACCCAATAAAGCTGAAATTTTTAAAAAAACCAATGAACATAAATCCCAGTGAGGGAACTAAGAAACTAGAATTGAATTTAAGAATTCATATATTTTCCAAACCTCACTGAATTGCTCCTAGGCCAGATACTATGTTAGGCACTAAAGAAACATTAAAAAAAGAAGAAAGGGAGGGAGGGAGGGAGGGAGAGAGAGGGAGAGAGAGAGAGAAAGAGAGAGAGAGAGAGAGAGAGAGAGAGAGAGAGAGAGAGAGAGAAAGAAAGAAAGAAAAAAGAAAGAAAGAAAGAAAGAAAACATATGGTCCCTCCCTCTAGAAGCTCACAATCTACCTCTCTATCTTTCTATCACTTATGTTGTCCTTACTCTCTGCCAGCTGTTCCTAGCGCTTTCTAGATCCTGGCCCACCTACCAGGGTGAGACACACCTCGCCCACCAGCTCTAATTCCCTGTGCTGGGCATCCAACAGCAGTCTGGTCAGGTGCGGTTTGGCAGGAGTGGTAAGTTCTGATTTGGGGAGCAGTGAGGTCACAAGTGAATGTGAAGAGAAGGCAGAGTTTTGAAGAATAAAGGTGGATTTGCCAGGGGTTGAGGGAATTGGGGGGTAAGAAGGAAAGCATCTCAGGTTGAAGGACAGTGTGAGCAAAGGCTGAGGCATGAGAACAGATGATACAGTCCCAGAACTGCCGGTGCCGTCACGGTCCTGTGAGGAGAAGCCGGGACTAAAAAAGCAGGCTGGATTCCACACAGCGGGAAATCACTGAAGTTCAGTAGCCTAGATGTATAATTAGATAATTATATGAAGAAACAATTCTGGCATAAGGTACTATTTGTATACATGTGTGTGTATACGTGCCCTTGTATATTTTTCAAAGTTTCTTCTTTACATTTATTGCTTCTTTTAATCCATCAGTTACAATCATTTTGAAGTTGAAAGTTAAAAAGTTAAGTACCTTCTTTGTTGTTTTCATTGTATTTCTCAGCAATATTAGACAAAGACCTGGAAATACCAATAAGCAAGTCAATTTATTTAGAAATCACTTCTTCAATGACAGTTACATTTTGACTTCTTCTTCTGAAAGAAAAGTGTAGAACAGGACTTGGAACCGATGCCAACTTTTAATGGAGAGGCAATCCTTATACATCCTGCCATTGTTTACTGGCATTCGGGGGTGGGGTGGGGTGACACTTTAAGATTCCTTTACTTTCCAAAATAATCTTTGAAGACACACAGTGCCAGGAGCCTAAAGGCATACAGATAAAGTGTTACAAGATCCTTTAGGCTCTGTCGAGGATGATTTAAACTCCAGAATCAGTGAAGCAATGAGAACATGTGTATCTACCTAAAAACGGCAATAAAACACAAGGCAAACAACTTACTAAGGTAGAATTAAATCTCTGACAACTAGCTGAGTCAAAATTCATGTAGAAGTAATTGTTGCTACTAGTCTGTGTTCTACAATGACTGAGAGGCTCTGTTTTCTGTGGAGACAATATATGGATTCCTTTACCTCGAATAATTAGGTAAAAACAGTATAATTTTTTCCTCATAAAATTGATATACACTTACCATTCTAAATTGTCATCCAATAAAAAGAGCAGTTTCAGTACTACTACAATAACAGCTATAGCCTGTACATCATATTTAACAGTTTTGGCCATTTTAGCTATGGGATCAAATGTCAGAAAATCCACTTCTCCGATTCCAGTCATTTTTACCACTTGGCAGGTTAAATCATTCATTTCATCTGTTGAAGAACAAAATAGTGAAATGTGAAATAAATTCTTTCCCTAACGAGACCCCGCTAACAGGCACCTCTGTAGGGCAAGTCGTATCATCCTAATACATGGTACTATGCTAGAACTCAGGGACACACATTTTGCGAATAAAATAAACCAAAACAACAAAAAAAAGATATCTGTATAGAAACAAAAACGGTAGAATCCTGGCAAGGCACAACTTTTCCTATTTGGATTTCCTAAAACATCCACTATGGATAGGACCCGTTGTGGTACCGAACTCACAGCCATACACTAGTTTTCTATCGTTTCGTACAAGCTTCTTGTCTGTGTTTCTATAGCAATTTGCCACTTACTTGAAACTAACTCCCGTGTAAGACCAAGAGTTTCTCTAAGAGTGTATGCTCACTCGCTGCTCACGCCCTGGCTGGCTCACTAGAAGGCTCGATGAGTACTGAACTTGACATGCTGCTTTCCCAAAGAAATGATATGTTCAGTTTGGCCTCCATCTATTATTCGAGGCTGAATAAAGTGGCACTTGGAACCGGAAAGCCTACCTCCGGCCTATAAATTTAGGCTTTCCAATCATTAGCTTTGTGACTCTGGATTAGTCACTTCTTTATTTGTAAAATGGGTTACAGGAGGGTAAACTGAGTGAAATAAGACAGTACCAGTGGCCGCACTTTGAAAACACTAAACAAATTTCTTTCCTCACTAAGTACATAAGGTATACAACATCCTACTTTAATTTTAAGTAGAATAGTTATTATTTATAAGAGCATAATGAGTTGTAGTGAATTAAATTGCAATTCGGTGCGTGCACTCAGGTGCCATGTCCTGTTGACTTTATTTCCCTGTCTATCCAACAGCAATGCTCTGCCACGAGCCAGGCTCTGTCAGTCCCGTTTTGGTAACCCTCGTGTTGCATTTGTGCACCTATATGTTACTACATAGTTAGTTATATTTATTTGTATTGTTAAAATTACACTACACAATTTTGAATATTGCTTTCTTAACATAAGCATTTTCCTTCCCTGTGAAAAAGTATGTTCAATCACATTTTTTCTATTCTTCAAGCAACAGGAGAGCCACACCATGTTTGTATTTTCTCTTAAGAATACGAGTCCTGAATTTCTCACATTTCTAGTCTAGCAAGAAATTCAGGAATGGGTCCCATTGGCAGGTTCCATCGGGCTGCCCGTGTCTCGGAACATTGGGAACAAGGTCTAGCGAGGCCGTCTTCACGCCTTGTGTCCCATTGCCTCCGAGGGTTCACTGGGCTCCGACCAGACTTTGAGCGCCATTTGTTTCAGGGGCTGGAAATAGCATTATGTTGCCAAACAATGAAAACATCACCAGAGGTGAGCTTCTGGGATGTTTTTTATTAGAATTCATTGTGTAATAATCATGCTTCATGTCAATTGACAAGGCACGGCCTTTTTTTTTTTTTTTCTTGGAAGGAGGGTGCCTCGGTCATTAATAACACATAATGAAACATTGGTTACTTTAATTGCACTCAGCAAACTTACTGTAAAACCAAGCAAATCCCTCATATCAGGACAGAACTCTTTAATTGCTGAACAATGTCCTCTTAACCTTGTTAAATGGCCCGAAATATTTTAAGAAAGGATTAATTGTGAAATTAAGCTTCATGTTGCCACAGACCCTGTCGGGTGACCCTACCAGTCAGTGATTTGAGAGGACTCTGTATTTTGTTCATTATAATTCTACAGATCTGTAACAACTTCCTCACCACACACACCACACACTTACCAGGGAGATTGACTTCCATCAGGTATTTCATACACAGGATGTTTGGATGAAGATAGCAGTCTTCAGTTATGTCTGGAAAACGTGGCAAATCTAAGAATTTGGCGATTTCAATCGTCTTTTTATAGATATCCTCATAGGTAGGCCAAGACTGAAATAAAAGATAATCGAGGTAGCAACTTTTGCAACATAAGTTGTTTTTATAAAATATTTTCTGATTTTAAAAGCAATATGTATTCACTGAATAAAATTCGGAATGGTGAGAAAAGCATGAAGGGGAAAACACCCTTAAATCCCTACTATCCTAACTTAGCAGTTTAAAACAGTAATAACGCTAAATAAAAAAGCCACTAAAATTCCATTTGGCTCATAAAACTCTTACTGGCCTTCCCCACGACAGAGTGAAATCGTTACTTCTTGCCAGTCACCGAAGAGCCCGGGGGAAGGGACAACGTTGTGACCCCAGACTGGAGTTACAGAGCTGTCACGACCGCTCTATGGCGTGGCACGACCTCCCTCCCATACTTCCTTACCACACCCTCTCATTCACCTTCAAATTCACGGCTAACAAGGTTAGCTTATTGCTTCATCATGGTCATGTGCTTCTAAGTGGGCGATAACGCCAGGGCTTAAGTGTAATAGGTAAAAATGCACAATTCAACTTCATACTCTCCCATGTAACTACGTGTAAGACTCTTACAGAATTCAGGAACATCTATGAGCTAATATTAAGAAATGTATTCTGTTCACTTTAAGATCACCCCTGTAGTTTATCTGGTATGCGATTTTTATTGTTGCCATTTATAAATGTCCTTGAAATTAATACTACATATAATTTTCCCTCATTTACTCATCCATTCACGTAAAAAAATGTTAAACCTAGAGTCTACTCTATGCAAGGTACTTTGGGAAATGTAAAGATGAATAACACAATGCCTTCAAGGAGTTTATAATCCAGAAAGGGAGAGAAGGTGGGTGAGAATAACTACAGTATAAAAGAGAAAGCTATCAAGTAACTCAAGTAAGATTTGTTTTTAAAAGGCTTATGGAATTTCACAGAAACTAACATTTCTGATATGGTTGGACCCTACTGAAACTGGGCCTAAAGACAAACATTTTGGCAACCTGTTTGGCAGTATTCGAGTTGAGCGTGTGCACGTTCTTCGGCAAAGCAATTCTCCTAGCTACATATCCCCAACAGAAATGTCCGTGATGTCCACAAAAAGACATGTGCCAGAACATTCTTAACAACACTATTTTCAAAAGCCCCAAGCTGGAAACTACCCCAAGGCCACTGACGAAAAGTAAATTTTGATATAGTCTCATAATGGAACACTTTGCAGCAAGGAAACAAACGCTCTGCCTGCAACATGGATTGCAGGATCCCTGGATGAATCTTCAAAACATCGTGTTAATAGAAAGAAGCCAGACGCACGAGAGGATGACCCACGCACATGAAGTAAGGCACTCAGCAACTCGGCGCCAAGCTTCCGCAAGGGTGAGGAGTCAGGATGGTGGTCACCCTGGAGCGGGGAGGTAATGACTACAGTGAGCACGAGGGGGTTGTTTCAGAGGTGCTGGTGATGCTGTTTCTCCCTCAAGGCGGCTAGTTCAGGCTGGGAAGATTCATGAAGCTTATGTACATGTGTGATATCTTCTATATGCTTACCTCAAAAAGTGGCAAGAAAGCAAAGATAATACCATCTATATAAACTACCTGGTGTAATAGAACCTCTTCATACATAACTTCCTAGGAGAAACAATCTAACTGGTACATTCAGACTTGGAAACACCCTTAGAAGTGTATGGTTCAACTTCACAAGACCCCTACCAGGCAGATATCTGGCCCCTCCTGCAAACCTCCAGGGACGGGAACTATACCTTCCCCAAAGGCAGTCTATTCCATTTTTAATGGGTTTACCATGAGAAAGTTCTTCCCTGTTCGAAGCAAAACTTTCCCCAATCTGTCAATAAAAGAGTCAACTACCACTCCTCCCCCCTAACTTGCCCGTGAAAGTACTGCTGTTAAATCATGTCTTGCCCATCTGTGGGAATGTGTCTGGGAGCCAAGCAGAGGAATGAAGATTTCTCTGTTAAATTTTACTTTGGTAAAGTCAGCTCATATGCAATTATAAAGCACAAGGAAATGCTTTATAATGGTACAGGGGGTTGCTTATAGAAAACAATCATACTGTTAATTTCTAGAATGTGTTAACGATGCTTGATTCTACTTTACCTAAAGCTACAATCTCCTCTGTACTACATTTATTTTGATACCACTATTTCAATATCTAAACTTTTGAATTTTATTGGGAAAAAAAGGCCTTTGGCATATCAACATATGAGTGATCTGTGGCGTAAGAGTACACATTGAATCTCAGTCAACCCAAAGTAGCACTGTTGCCTTTGAAGTTTTTTTCAAGCTAGAGCACTTCTACTTGTACACTGAAATATTATAAACAGTATTCTAATCTGTGAATTTAAGAGAGAAAAAAGGAAAACAAATTCTCATTGATGAACTGGCCTTCTTTTTTCTTTATAAAATTAATTCATTTAGAACAGTTGCTTCATTTTGCTCAAGACTTGAAGTATCTTTTCAAGTTAAGACAATTTTAACATTACTGACAAGATTTATGGCAACTCTAATCCTTTTAAATAATGCAGGCAGGATGTGTAATTAAGCATTTTTATCTGCAAACAAACACTAGAGCACTGAATGTTCCCTTTAGAAAAAAAAATCATCTCAAAAAGCCAATTTGATGTATGATAAATTCATGACTAGTAACTGTAAGGTCCTTAACGAAAAGGAATCTGGTGAGCTAAGAAGGTTTACTGTGTTTTCAAATGTCCGCACTAAAAGCTGATACGTCAAACTAAAAGCTGGTGACAAACAGGTATTCTTTCACATATGAACTTCGGATAAAATCATTATGAATAATGCAAATCTACAGATTTATATTATAGTTTACAACTAAGTCTAGATTCTCCTCATCTCAATTCAGTATGGTGGACTTCACTTTCAAATTTTCATTTATTTTTAAACAACTTTTCCTTTTTGATTAACACTGAAAACCTTTTTTTAAAAGGTGGCTCGACAGTTTTCAGTATCATTCCACTTAATGTTTACCAATCTTCTACAACTGTTATACACATAGGTCGTTTCCAATTTTTATATTACTATAGATAATGCCATGAATATATTCTAGTAACTTAAATTTCTTATAAAAATAATACATCCTCATTACATAAAATTTATGAAAGACAATAAGAACATATAAAGACAATGAAAAATGCTCATAACTTAGAGAAAGCCACTTAGGATGTTGGAGGACTTTTCTCTCAGCCCTTTGGGGCATAGTCACATTTACAACACTGGGATTTCAATGCGACAGCCTCTTCAACACCTCCACTTGAATATCTTCCCACTCTGTCAAATGTGCATGTTCCAAACCAAGTTCTTATCTTCCAAACCCCTATGTTTTATTCCCCCATCGGTATTCCTTACCCGGTCTCCAAAACCAAACATTTGGATATCAGCCTTGATGGCTCCATTTCCTTACACAGCACACGCACCCAGGCTGTCTACCTCAAGGTTGGGTCTGGAAGGCCACGATGCCTCGTCACTTCCATAACCACTACCTACTCTGATCCTCCATCACCCCAGGCCTGGGCTCCCAACCAAACGGTATCTCCCTATCTGCTGTGGTCTCACTGAAACTAGCAGCAAGAGTCACATTTCAAAATGAAATCTGATATGGCACTCCACTACTAAAATCTAATAGTTTACTTTGCTCTTAGGCTAAGCTCCCATCTGTCTGAGAACCTTTGTACAAACTGAATTAGCTCTATATGCTCTGTCTCCTAAATCTTAGCCTAACATTATATTTTGTGTGTATTTTCTAATGTCATGAGAGAGCCTTTGAAAACATCATTTTAAGTGATTGGAAAATATTCCCCTCTATGAATTCAACATTTCCTTATCTTTAGACATCTACGTCAGATACACATTACATGCATACATATTAAGCAACTATTAAAAAGCGTTTTAATAGGCTGTTCCATGACTTAGGAAAATATTCATGGTGCAATACTGAGTTTAAAAAAGCAAGAAAGAAATTTGTATGTAGTCTTCAATCCTGATTTTGCAAATATGTTAATGCACATTAAATAAGACAACTAAAATATCAAATGTTAATGACATCCATGAGAAATTGGATTGTGGGTGATTTTTATTTTCTTCTTTATACATTGCAGTGTTTTCTATATTTCTTTTTTTTTTATTTTTTAATGTTTTATTTATTTCTGAGAGAGAGAGACAGAGAGACAGTGTGAGCAGGGGAGGGTCAGAGAGAGAGGAAGACACAGAATCTGAAGCAGCCTCCAGGCTCTGAGCTAAGTGTCAGCGCAGAGCCCAATGTGGGGCTCGAACCCACAAACTGTGAGATCATGACCTGAGCCAAAGCCTGAAGCCCAACCAACTGAACCACCCAGGCGCCCCTGTTTTCTACATTTCTTTTAATCACTCTGAATATATTTCTTTCAGAATAAGAAAAAATATTCAAAAACATACTACACTGGTCTAAAAAAATTACACATAGAATCACCATATGGTAACAACAATCTTTCTTTGATTGCTGTTTCTGTGCAGATGCCCAAAAGAACTGAAAGCAGGAACTCTAACAGATATTTGTACACTAACAAGCAGCCTTAGTCACTACAGCCAAAGGTGAAAACAAGTCAAATGTCCAAGGATGAATGGATAAACAAATATAATAGTATTTAGCCTTCAAAAGCAGGGCACCTGGGTGGCTCAGTCAAGGTTACGCGTCCGACTTGAGCTCAGGTCATGATCTCGCCGTCCGTGAGTTCAAGCCCCGTGTCGGGCTCTGTGCTGACAGCTCAGAGCCTGGAGCCTGCTTCGGATTCTGTGTCTCCCTGTCTGTATGTCCCTCCCCTGCTCATGCTCTGTCTCTCTCAAAAGTGAATAAACGTTAAAAAAATTAAAAAGGAATTTTTTTTTCATTTCTGACACATGCTACAATTTGGATATACCTGAAAGACATTCTCTCATGTGAAGTAAGTCAGATAAAAAAGACAACTACTGTATGACTTCACTTCCATGCAGTACTAGAATAGTCCAATCCACAGAGA